GGGGGGGGGGGTGGTGGTGGTGGTGGTGGTGGTGGTGGTGGTGGTGGTGCTCTGAGCTCATTTTCACATTGCTTTTTTATGCCTAAACTTATCAAGTCTCTACCCATAAGATATCTCCCTGTAACATTTCTGTTTAATATTAACTATCACATGTAGAAAACCTTCCACTCTTATTACTGGGGAGCTCTTCATGTGCATGATTCAGTGGGGAACATCTGTGTGCCCCCAGAGACTCATGGTGGGGGCGTGTCTTGATGCTGTTTGTGGCAGAAATCGAGTTAAATGTAGCAGTCATCTGTAATCCCAGTTCTGGGAAGATTGAGGCAGGAGGTAGCAAATTCGAGGTCACCCCAGTTATAAAGTGACACCTTGGACCTTAGGAAAAAAGATAGAAGGAAAGAGAAAGAGACCAGAGGGGAAGAAGGGAGACTTTCTATTCTAAAGAAGGAAGAAAAGGAGGGAGAACAGAGAAAGAGAAAGAAGGAAAGAGAAAGTCTCTCCTGGGCTGCTGGTCATTTCTGCCTCTTTCTCCTGTACCTGGGACATTTCTGTTCTGAGCAATAGCTTTTATTGTGTTTTGATATCCAAGAGAGCAGTTCATTAGCTGTTTATAGCTTTAGTGACCTCATTCACATGTTGTAAAATTCCCTGGGAAGGACTAGTGAATGGAAGAAAGGGGAAGTGAGTGGCTTAGGGGTTAGCACACAAAAGGCAGGTGAGGGAGGGAAGGAAATGTTATTTTTTGCCCCATCTGAGCTCAAAGGAGCAATGGGTATGGAATCCTTGGACTTGTAGATGAGGTTTTTTATGGGAACTCCTGAGGAGGACTCTTGGATAGTAGGAGTTGGGGGATGTCTTAGTTAGAGTTCAATTGCTGTGGTAAACTCAACCAAAAGCAACTTGGGAAGGAAAGTTTATTTCATTTTATAGTTTGGAGTCTGTTATTTTCATTGCCACTTCATAACTATAATTTTGCTACTGTTATGAATCATAATGTAAAAGTGTGACATGTGACTCCAAAAAGGTCATGACCCACAGGTTGAGAACCACTGGTTCAAGTAAGAGCTGAAAGCTTAAAAAGTATTTGAGAGAGCTGAGGAAAGGAGGAAGGAAGGGAGAGAGACAGAACACAGTTACATGATGTTTACTACAGTATATTGTTATGTTTTATTATAGTTGTTAACCCCAAGCTAACTATGCCTAACATAAATTTATCAATCAATCTATCTATCTATCTATCTATCTATCTATCTATCTATCTATGTATCCATCCCTCTGTGTGTGTGTGTGTGTGTGTGTGTGAGAGAGAGAGAGAGAGAGAGAGAGAGAGAGAATGTGTGTGTGTGTGTGATGAGAGAGACTGTGTGTGTGAGTGGGAGCATGTGTGCCACAGTGTGCTTGTGGAGATCAGAAGGTAACTTGGGTAAGTTGGCTCTCTCCTTCCACTATGTGGGTCCCCAGGAACCAAACCCAGATGGTTGGGTAGGCTTGATGGCAAATGCCTTTCCCCACTGAGCCATCTTGCTTGCCACCTGTGTTATTTTTGACACAGACTCTCTTATTGAACCTGGAACTCAGCAAGTTAGTTCTCCTAGTTGGCCAGCAAGCCCCAGAGATCTCCTGCTTCTAGCTTCCACTGTTGGGATTAAAGGTGCCTGCCTCCAGCCCTGGCTTTTTACATGGGTTCTGGGGATCTGAACTCGTGTCCCCATGCTTGCAGGCAAGCGCTTTACCCACTGAGCCATCTCCCCTGTCCCTAATGCTCTGATCTTTAATGGTGAATATGCAGACTTACAGGCCTGATGAGCGCACAGTTTTCTGGGAGATTCCTAGGGCTATCAATGGAAAACTTCATTTTTTCTGTTTTTCTTGAGAGAGGCTATTGTCCCAATCATTTATGGAAGATGCTGGATAGAGGTCAATGTGTACTTATGAAGAGGTGGTTCTGGCTGGCTTGCCTGGCGACTTGGTAACTGGTCTAACTGGTTTTTCTTTGGCTTGATGAAATTCATTGACCAGTTATTTCCCATCCTGTCACCAGATCCTTTGTGGGAATTGAAATCTGTTCTTTGTCACTGAACACTTGACATATTCCAGGGAGGTGCCAGGGACCTTGGTGTGCCCTGTCTCTGTGTGTTTCTCTTTCTTCCTGTGTCTGCTGCAACTTTCATTAAATGGAGGGGACATGGATGTTGGATTTATTTTTTATTTTTGAGATAGGGTCTCACTGCCCTCAAACTCTTGGCAATACTCCTGCCTCAGTCTTCCAAGTGCTGGGATTCCAACATTCCTGGCTAAAACACTGTTTTCTGATTGTGGTAAAATATATTTAGTAAGTACATTGATAATGTAGTGTCGCTATCCTCATGCTCTGGTTCGGGAACATTCTTAACACCCCCCAAAAAGAATCTCTCTGTCCATTATTACTCATTTCCCAGTCCTGATTCCCTGAGCTCCTGGCAACGAGCAATTAGCTTTCAAGCTGTGTGGATTGATCTGTTCTGGACATTTCTATCCATAGGATCATATAATATGTAGTTCATTGTGTGTTCTTCCTTTCTTTCCTTTTTCTGAGTACAGTGTTCTCAGAATTCATGCACACAGTGATTTCATTAAGTCTAGATTCTGTTTTCATGGATGAGTAATATTTCATCATTTGGGTCCTGTCAGTTTTACCCCCTGACCAACATTTGTGATGATTTCCCTGCTTCAGTTATGTGAAATAGGGCTTCTGTAAACATCTGGTTTCCAGGCTTTGTCTGTGGCACTCCTTTACCTTTAAGTCAGAAGTAGGTTGCTTTTGTAGGGCTGAAGTTCAAACCCAG